GATTAAGCCTGAGTAACATGGCGGTCTGCATTGAACGGTAGCATGATTCGAAAATATCGAATTTCGATACGATGACAAACGGGCATAGAATATGAATGCCCTGAAATCTGAAATGGAAGCAGGGAATATAGATAAATTTACTTCTGATGATGATTCACACTTTGACACCAGTGGAAAGGAGCCAATATAGTTTGAATATTTGGCAATTTTATTGTATTTGGTTTCAATAGAAACTACTAAAACTAAATATTCATGAGTAAAAATGGCTCTGACATTTAGCCTGCGTATACATACAGGGTCGGATTATCCTTTTTCTAGTTGTTATAACTTCTAAATAGTTTCATAAGCTGAAATGATATCAACATGACAAAATCATATTTGAATTTGTAGGAAACAAAGCAAGGAAAAGAATGTTTTCGTTTACATCATTGTGCCTCAAGTGAATAACATGTTTGATTTTAGTTCATTATGTTTAAATATTGGAAATTTTTATAAAGCAGTATTTTTAATTTTCTAGATGTTATAACTTCTAAATAGTTTCATAAACTGAGATGATATCAATATGACAAACTCATATTTATTTTGATTGTTTCATTGTTATAATGCTGCTCATAGAAATATGTTTTTTTTTTAGTACGGTTGTGTTGAAATATGTGCAATTGTTTTGTAATAAATATCAAAATAGTGGCATTTCATAAAGAATATTTTAATTGACAAACAAAAATAGCTATTCTAGTTTATTTAAAGAATTTGCAATAAGTTTATATCACGCTATGCAAATGTCGATAAAATATATCATGAGTCAAAAATAAGACGAGTGCTGGTGAGTTAGAGGGTTGTTCCGTCTTAGGAGAGAAGCATAATTTCATTAACCTAGTGGTCACAAAATATCATAAACCGACCATGTAAATATATATATATATATATATATATATATATATATATATATATATATATATACACAAACTTACACCAATGTTGCGCGCATAAAAAGAAAAATCAAGAAATATAAGCAGTCAGTTGCGGATATCCCCTGAAGAGTGGGGAGATGGGATGCTGAAGGTAATATCAATCAGTTAAATGATAAACTTATATATATATATATATAAAGAAAGAACAGTAAGATATATAATCCGGTGTTCTTATAGATATTTTTATTTTTACAAAATAGTGCTCAATGTAAATTTTCAGAGCATTAATATTATAAATTAATTGATTTAAAATATGCTTTTGATTTAAAATATGTTTTTTCGCTACAGTTCTAACCATGTTTCAAAAACCATGTTTCAAAAACATGGTTAGAACTGTGTGTATGAAAAAACATATTTAAATCAATTAATTATAACATTATATATATATATATATATATATATATATATATATGATAAAATATAGCTTTAAGGTATTTATGGGTTAAAGTGCTCAATATCAGGGATAGAGTATATGTAAATATAAAAGTAAACATTAAATCAACACCCAGAGGCAACAGTCTGTTTCACGCAAAACGCAATCATCAGGCGTTTTTTTTGCTCAAATTCTTATACATACAGGTCAGTGATGCATTGTGGGTATTCTATTACATTGTAGCTAGTCTATTGTATTATTCTAACGGTTATTTTTGTGGGCGTGGTTTGTTACTTATTTATTTGGATTACTTTCTTTTACTTGCTTTTGGTTATTTATTTTGAGCAGAAACGAAAAACCAGATCAACTGCATAACAATCAATAAATATTGACATGGTGTAATGGTTAACGAGCTTGTCGCAATAGAACAATTACGACTGAGTAATGAATTCGGTCTTGTGCTACATCTAAGCTACGTTTAGAAAATCATCATAACAATCAATAAAAGATTCAGTAATGCAGTTTTATATGATAAAACATATCCAAGTTTCGATGGTAGCAGTGACCTCTTTCCAATGAATTCTAAGCATTCTAAAATTCTAAAATTTCTACAGAAATGATAAAAAGTCATAAAAGCACCAAATTAAAATACTCTTGACTCGTTCAAATTGCAAAGAGATATATACTGACATCGTTAAAAGTAGCTACAATAGATTAAATGTGAATGGAAATTCAAAGTGGGACAAATTAAGTGAAGCTTTAGTAACATTATTAAACGAGATTAAATCAAGGAAAACTAGACAAGAAGAAGAGAGTGGATGACAGATAAAATTCTCAACGTGAAGAAAAAAGTCAACAATGTCGAAATGTGGTACAGAATATAGAACATTTACACAAAGAAATTGGAAGCAAATGAAGGCAAGAAAATAAGAATAACTCAAGGAAATATGTGCAAATAAAAAAAGAATACGAATCACAGACAAGGCAGATATGAATCAAAAAATAATAGAAATAAAAACATCTGCTCATCGACAGACTACATAAAAAGGAAAGGGGTAATTGTAATAATAGAAAATGGAAAATACATCAAAGATGAAACGAATACGTTGAAAGACTCTTTAACGACAAAACGGGGAAAACTGCAATACGCAACTATATGGAAGGATCAGAAATATTAATGTCTGAAGTGACATCAGCACTGGCCAAGGTGAACAGGAAAAAAACAGCACAAGCATATGGGATTATAATAGAGATATTCACAGCCTTAGACAATCTCAGGATTAAGATTACGGAATTAAAAATAAAATATACGACACTGGTGACATATGGGAAGACTTTAGTAGATCCATTTTCATAGTGCTGCCTAAGAATGCGAGCTCCATCGGACTAATATCTTAATGAGCCATATAATGAAACTTATCCTAATTTTGATAAATAGAGCACGTAGCATAATTAGACCAGGAATATGACAAAAATAATGCGTTTTCACCACAAACACTGAAACAAGGAATGCTATATTTATGCACAGAATGATATCAAAAAGAAAAATACAAATGCAGAACGATGTGTAGATATTTTTTATAGATCATGTAAAATCATTTGATAAGGTATGAAACAAAAATCTATTTGAACTTTTAGGAAAACTTTATTTGGGAAAGATATTAGAATAATCTAGAACTTATACTGGAAACAGACTGTCTACACACGGATATAAAATAAATTCAATAAACAAAGGAAAATAGAAAGCGGCATAAGACACGGATGTGTTTTCTCACTTATTCAACCTATACAACGAGACAATCCCGGTGGAACTAGAAGTCCTACCAGGATTTATAATTGGCGGACGCAATCTTCACAACATAAGATAGGTATATGATACAGTGTTGATAGCAGACACACAAAGGAAACGGAACTTTAAATATCTTGGAAGTATTTTAACAGAGGACTTAAAATGTAACACTGTAATCCGAAGGCGTATTTGAATAGAGAAAGTGCCTTTCAAAAGCTAAGTAAAGTATTGAAAAACAGGAAAATTTAGCTAGAAACAAAGAATAGAGTGCTGAACTGCTATGCAATATCAGTCCTTCTATATGACTGTGGATACTGGACAATCTCCTGAGAGATAAAATGGAGACTGATATTTATTCGTACAAAAAGTACAAATTGTGGCACGAGGCCAATAAAGGGGAGGGGTAGAGGCTGGTCAACACTAACTATCTTATACCTAGCTAATCAGATTCGCGACATTCGTACATTACATTTTACTCATTCACCAAAAGAACTCGTCCATCACCAAACAATTCTTCAACCGCCATAATACCGCGTGCTCTCAAGGGAGACCTACCAAAATCGCGCCCCATGCCATAAAAATTTTAATGATGATATATATATATACAATTCTAATAATGATAAAATGAGAGGGAGGGAAATGAACCCAATAATAAACTTAAAATAAACACAAATACAAACTAAACATAATTGATGTCAGTAGGGACCGTCCAACCCATAAAACAGAGAGACCGCTGTATTCTGCCCTGGGGACAAAATCAGAGACGCTCTCGCAAAAGGAGTGGGAAAAGTATAAAATATTAGGCTGGAATGGGTAAATATAAAACTGACCCAGTCGAGATGAAAGTGTGTGTGTGTGGAGGGGGTCAAAACAAACTGGGGAGGTTGGGAATCTCGACTTGGATCATAACCAAAGAACGGCCGGGATGCAGGCCAGGAACAACACTTACTCACATTAACTAGGTACACTGAAACTTGTCTAACCTAACCAAGGGGAGGGTTCCACAGGAAGCCACCTCGATGTGCAATAGGTTGACCTAGAAGAGAAAATCAAGGCTGGCCCCGTTCACACGAAGCAAGCTCGCTTCTTTTACCCACCTTTCGTTAAAAAGACTGTTGAATGCAATCGTTTTCTATCCGATCTAATCTTCATCTTGAGCTGATGCTCAAAGAATCGAATTAGATCCGAATGAGAAAGACGATTGCCTCGCAAGACTTCCTCCTTTCGCGTCGTCCAAATCACCATTCGAGCCGTGGCCATCAGCGTCAGAAACACCATCCTTTTCATCCCGGAATACGAGGGCGACACATTGTCACACGCGTATGCGCGATCAATGGACACAAGCTGTTCGGGAGCGAGACAAAATGGAGACTTGAGGAGACAAAGATGGACATCTAAAGAATAACATGGCCGAAGTATGTCACTAACGAGGAAGTTTTAAGTTAAATAAAAACGAAAAGGACACTTATACAAAGAGACAGTTGAAATGTCTAAAGCAGATAAAGAAAAAGGATTTGAGAAATTGAGATTTCTAAGGCACATAATGTGGAAAAAAGGCTTGGCGAATTTGACACTCACAGGACAGATTAAAGGCGAGAGGGACTAACATTGGTAGGTAGGTTAACAAGCTTACGCAAATTGATGGTATAAACAAGGGGTGGGAGGGACAGTGAAAAGACAAACCTTATTAAGAGCTGCAAAGGATAGGAAGTTGTGGAGAGCCATGATTTCCCACGTCCTAAAGGGAGACCATACATAGAAGAAGAATGTTGCCTGAGAATTTTTAAACTTAACTTATTTTTCCTTACGTCAACATAATCTTTTTCTCCATATTGTTTTTATATTTTCCCTTAAACTCAATTTCTAGTGTTTATCTAGGTCGATGCGATGAATGTCATTCATACTTTAGACATAACTCAAGCAACACCACCGCTTTTTTTTTTATCTTCGCTCTTTTCTTCTTTAAGGGGAGATTTTACGTCGGTAATCCTTTCATTCTCTCTCTCTCTCTCTCTCTCTCTCTCTCTCTCCCCACCCCTCTCTCTCTCTCTCAAAAAAAATAAAAGGAAAAAGAAAAGAATACATATTTGGCTCAGATTATAGAAAATGTAACACCAAAATCTGAACTTGCCTTAAAATAGAAGAATATGTCTTCCAAAAGCTAAGCAAAGTACTAAGAAACAGAAACAAAGACATAAGTGCTGAACTGTTACGTGGTATCGGTCCTTTTATATGATAGTGAATGCCAGACAATCTCACAGATGAAGAAAAGACGACAGGTTACAGAATCGTAATTCTACAGAAGGATGATAAGAATACCATGGACGGTGCACGTAAGTAACAAAGGAATCTTAACAAAAATGCAAACGAAAAGGACATTTATACTCAAAGTCAGAAAGAAACAAGTGAAATTTCTTGGATAAATAATGTGGAAGAATAGATTGAAAAACTTAAACTTTATATGGCATATCAAGGCCAAGAGGGACAGGGGAAGGCAGTAGAGATCCAACTCCCCCTACTAATATAGGAATGGTGGGTGGTAAGCTTGGACATGGGACAAATGTTGTTAAGAGCTACAAGAGTTAGGATAGCCATAATCGCTGACGGAGTGAAGGGACAAAACAAAAGCCTATACAGTGCGGAGAAAGGAGAAAGGTGAGCGGCGGCGGCGGCGGCGGCGGCGGCGGCGCTTCCCATCTGTAAGTTAGTTAATAATTATAAACAACTACCACCGTTAACTTCTAAAATCTTATTTCAATAATATTTTTTTTATCTTACCACATTGTCCATAACGGAAATTCTTGTTTGAATAAACACTGGGAAATCCAACATTACAAGACACAAATAACATGATGTCAGCGACTCTCTCTTTGATTGTGCGTACACACACACACACACACACACACACACACATATATATATATATATATATATATATATATATATATATATATATATATGGAATAATAAATTCATAACATTGTTGATGAACATGATCACTTCGTACTGTGTGCGTTCGTGGGTGTTAAAGTAAATTGTCGCCTACATGTAAATACATCTCAGACAGAATGCTACAGTATGTCTGCCTGTACGAAATTATATGTGTATCTGTATATATATATATATATATATATATATATATATATATATGCATGCGCGCGCGCGTATTTATATATATATATATATATATATATATATATATATATATATATATATTTCTGAAAGTAAAGTTATTTCACCAACTGTTCATCAAATTGCTTGCAACCACCTGTAATGTACGCCCCGTCATGACATTCCACGTAGCAGCCTTTTGTTAACAACACTTTTATTTTCTGCTCTGACACAGTTTGGCGCGAATTCAATTGCAAAATACTTCGATGACTTGAAGTAGAATTTCCGGCTCGTCGGGCATAACAAACTGCGAATTTCACAAAAGTTCATTTAGCTCAACAACGAAAGGGTCTTAAAATTAATATGAGACACAAGTGGGGGCTGGTTTTGGAAACGCTTGTAGTCTTCACAAAAAAATATATATATATATATATATATATATATATATATATGTGTGTGTGTGTGTGTGTGTGTGTATTTCAGTAGATTTCCACTTTTTATTTTTTAAACAGTCTATTTTGTCTCCCAACCTGCACACTCGAGAAAACTTATTAAAGAAAATGTGGCCTCCGGCAGAAGAAATCACCGTCTGATAAAATAAATGACATGAATTCTTTAAAATATATCTTTTTTTATATGGTGTTTTTTCGAAACTTAGCAAAACAAATTCACGGATTTGGAGAATAACCCAGAATTAAGTCCAAATCCGCGAAATCTTTGATCCTTTAATAGTTGTGCTTAATTTAATTTGTAATTGTATATAAATGTAGGTAAAAAAAAAAAGAAGCAAATGTTGATAAGATTGCAAGGGTTACAAAGCATGACCTGGGGCCCTCAATCAGGCTTCCCCTCCACGTCGGAAAATTCAGGGGTAGTATGCATGGCTGGCGCTTAGGTCTCGCCACTACCCCGAAACTTTGATACGGCAGCTCCCCTCTCTATTACATTTCGATTTGAAATCCTCGAAGTAAAATTGGAGCTTTTTTTTTATATTACCAATAATCAGGGAATTATCCAATCAACATACGAACACCATTAGACGTGAATAAAAATGCCGCTTAAACGCACACACATTTTCAACTAAATCCAGCATAGACCAACTAGAATTATGATACACAAACACACAAGGATTATACACATGAAAACTACTTAACAGGACAATTGAGGTCTACTTAACCAATAAAAAACAAGCAACACAAAAATAAAAAATACCAAATTTTTTTCTCCATATTTCATTTTTGATGCAGCTTAAATAAAAGTGAAACATGTTAAATTTATAAACGTTTCATGTTCTTTCATTATTCTATCATTCTGTCAGATTCTAGTGTATATTTGATCCATATTTGATCAAAATTCATATATATATATATATATATATATATATATATATATATATATATATATATATACTAGCAGCATGGCCCAGCGTTGATTCAAAAATCGTATGACTCATACAGCAATCGCTATCACTTGACTTAAAATATTTTTGCCCTTCCCTTGCCTTTAAAGGGGTGGCCTTTGCTGTGCTGATGTTGCTACATGCCTTACTTCTTGCCTATCTCACACTGCGAATTTTTTCCAAGCTCTATACTAAACATTAAATCTGTTATGAAAAAAGAACTAAACAAAATGAACACAAAACGATCAGCTTTAAAAAAGGACTCGTAACTGGAAAAACCGAATGAAAAAGAATATTAACAACAAATACTTTTTCACACACAACCCAGTTCTGCGGAATCAGAATCAACGTTGAGTTTAAGCAAGCGAATGAGCCAATTGGAGTAAAGTGCCATGCAGATTTAAATTTTTCCCACTTGTGACGAATGCTTAACTTGTTGTTAAATCGTCTCAGAACGATATACGACTCTTGCGATGGGGGAATAAGATTTCTGTGAGCGGCTTAAAGTTTATAGTTGCGTTCCTCCTTTACAGTAGTAACAGTAGTAGTAAAATTTGTGGTAGCAGAAGCAGTGGTACTTATATCGACAGCATATGTTAGCGGACGCTTCGTTCCAATCTCGGACGTCACGTTCCCTCCTTCTTGAGTCTCCGACTCTCCACTATCCCTAGCCCGACACTAGCCCAGGCTATTTCTCTTCTATTTCTCTCTTCCGTCTGCTCTCTTCCGCCTGCCTCTTCCGTCTCTCTCTCTCTCTCTTTCTCTCTCTCTCTCTCTCTCTCTCTTCCGTCTCAACGCTCACCCGTCTGTTTCTTCCGTCTGCTCTCTTCCGTCTCTCTCTTCTCTCTTCAAGAATTTTCTCAGGTCTGTCTTTTTCAGCATAACTACGTGTTTATATAGAAATATCCGGCTGGTTACAACTGAACCTTGGCCCTACTGATTTGCACGTGATTATGACGGGGTTTTGGCTATTTCAACCAAAATCATGTGAATTCAAAAGTTCCTTCTAGCATACTCAGCTCTATTTCAATTTTCAATTATTTCGACTATTTCCATTGTCTTTTGATGATCCAGATTCAATGGGTACAACTTCTGGACTAGATCAAATTTACACATCAGTAAACAAAATGCTCTGACTTAATTTGACTATTCAAATTCATCCCAATTTAAATAAAAAAAGAGTAGACGTGTGTGTGTGTGTGTGTGTGTGTGTGTGTGTGTGTGTGTGTGTGTTTCCCAACATCTCTGTCACACCGATATGTATCCGTTATTAATCCAATCTGAGAATCTGAATGGGGTTAACAGAGAAGTACAATGACGTAGCAATTGACACAATTACACCAAAGTAAATCGTATTTGAATGTTTGAATTGAGATAATAATAATTGTGGACCCGGAAGAGGTCGAAAAGAAAACTTGGACTCAGCAATTCAGTGAAAACATTATTAACAAAAAGAACGAATACAGAAGTGTTGCATGTCCGTCTGACGGCTAAGTACAGTAGTCAACTCGTCATCCGTCGACAGTCCTCTTGCGAGGAATAATATAGTCATAAGACGAGTCTATTTTGTCTATGAAGGTAGGTCCCCATAACATCTATATGTATCCTTTATTAATCCAATCTGAGATTAAAAACATTGCTTATAAAGGAGCATTTGAGAAGCTGAATGGGGATAACAGAGAACTACAATGACGTAGCAATTGACACAATTACATCAGAGTAATTCGTATTTGAATATTTCAAATTGAGATAATAATAATAATAATAAGGAACTAAATTTCATGCACACCGATATGTATCCTTTATTAATACAATCTGAGATTAAAAAGATGGCTTATAAAGGAGCATTTGAGAATGTGAAATGGGATAACCTCCGAAACCGAGCCTAATTAAATATGTAGAATAAACGGTTGAAATATGCATTTAACATTCAGTCATGATTGTTACTAAAATAAAAATATTATATTTTCGTTAAAAATATGCACAAGCAATAAAAAATAAACTTCAAAGACACTTCTAAGATTTCCCTAACATTGTACAATATACAGTGCTAGGAATGTTTGTATTATAGTTCCTTATTCGTTCTAACTTTTTAGGACATTTCTCTGTTCAAGAATTATAATCTACATTGACATTTTACTCTATAGCCACATTTATTTATTGATATATTAACCTATAGTCTTGTGTTTCGTAATTGAATGTATGCGGATGTTTCTGTGTGTGCCAAACAGAATTGAAGTATGCATGGCTATATTATTATTACGTTGCCGACACTAGATTTAGCAGCATGTACTTTAAGGTCGAGCGAAGAATAGGATGAATTATTAGAGGCACACGAATGTAAAGTTACAAAAAAGAATGGTAGAGAAGTATCGTTTTAATTTAGTAAAAAGACGAATATTAACGTATATGAAAACAAAGTCTTAGTTATACTCAACTTCTTGTCTGTTGAAAAGGAATTTCCCTAGCTCTCCCTTTCACTGTACCTACCTACCTACCTACCTACCTACCTACCTACATATCCCGTCTTGGATATGACGATAAACTACATCT